ACGAAAACAGGTTGGTCTCACATGATCCCAAGTCTATATATATATATATATATATATATATATATATATATATATATACATACATTACATAGGGAAAAGTATACAAGATAATTACTTTTAGTATTTTAGTAATTGCCACGTATAATTTGAGTTGATTCATTTTTTTGTGTGTGCTAAAATGAGTTATAAATTACTTTTGAATTCAATAATAATCAATTTTTTTATTAATATTTAATTAATTTATTAAACCATTTAAAGAATGTTGGTATGACTATTTATTAGCTTTAAAATTGACAATAACTTTTCTGAAGTTGAAAATAAATTGATAATTATATTATTACATTTTTTTTAAAAATAGAGAAGTAAAAATCAAAATATTTAAAAAAAATTACATTTATCTCCAAGAGTTTTTCTATTTTAAAGAATTCAGCATTGATTATAATATTAAAATATTATTTATTTCTTTAAATGTTTATTTTCATAGTTTCTTATTGGTGATCTCATATCGTAATCATTTATTGGGTTTTTTTTTTATATTTGGAGAAAAAATCATTCTCTCTCCTACTTTCTTGATTTTAGAGATAGTTTTGAGAAAGCAGTTGAAACAAAATGTTGGCTTAAAAACTTCATTTTAAAAAAGCTGTTGAAGATGTTCTAATAATTAAAAAGTATTTTCAAAGTATCATCCAATGCATTTATAAATTGTTGTGATTTCCTCTTAAAATAAATTAGAATTAGAATACAAATTTTCACCAATGGACTAATGAACACTACTAGAAAATAAGGTATCAGAGATAAAAAAAAACCCCTCACTGATTAGCGAGGATCAACGAAGGAATGGCAAAAAAACCAGTTCCCTCGTTGACCAGCGACGGATTTGTGAGAGAGTTTTCTTTTGCTGATACTCTTCATTTTTGTAGTGAAAAATCCCCAGATAAAATCAAGATTAAAAGAGTCATTTTTCTAACAAATTACCTATGTACAAAAAATGCCAACAATAATCCGTCTCTGATTACCGACAAATCATCGTAGAGTTTTCAAGTATCAATAAATTCATCAAATTCTTTCGTTAACATTTAATTAATTGGAATTATTATTATTATTATTATTATTATTATTATTATTATTATTATTATTATTATCTGAAAATCCCATAAAAATCTGTATTAATTGATTTAATAAAAATTAAAATACATTTATCATCGTTTGAAATCCATCGCCATTTTAAACTTAGTTAATTTAAAAAAAATCAATCTTATCGGAAATCCGGTGCGAGAATATATTATAGTAGATATATCAGATATATCGAGTATAAATTTGATGATCTCGTTCTTGGGTATTTTCTTAAAAATACTAAAATTATAAGTTTTTTATTAACAAAAAACCTTGAATATAACAATTGAAGAGTTGGTTTTATTTATTTATTTATGAAAACTATTAATTTAATAAACATAAATAAAAAAATAGAAGAGGAGATTGAGTTTTGCTTTTATGTCTGTGATTTCATAAACATCTGTTGAAGCCGTTTCATAGCTTTTGCTTTTGTAGTCAATATATACTCTCTCCAACCAAAGGTTTCATTACACCTTTATATATCTAAAACTACCTCCAAAAAATACATAAATCTTGTATATATATATATATATATATATACACACACACACTAGTTGTGTACCCGTGCAATGCGGTGGAAGCCGTGAATTTTAACGATTTTGCAGTTTCACTGGTTTTATTAGAGAAGATTTAACGATGATATACGTTACACTTGGTCTTTACATATTAATACAATTTGAATAAATATATAAGAGTTATAGTTCCAACTATCGATTAAAAAAATTGTATGATAATTTAAAATTCAATATATTAAAATCCAAGATATTTAAACGACTCCATAAATGTGTTCAGTTTACACCAAAAGTAGAGAATCAAAAGATCGAGAGTGAGATCGAGAGTTCTAGGGTAATTGAATGAGATATGAATGAGAGAACTTTTAATAATTCATGGTGAATATCAGTTTGAATCTCATATTGGAGGATGAGGAGAAGACATAGAGGTATGAGAGGGTAAATACATGAGTGAAATGTGTCGAAAGTATCTTGAGAACAAGAAAATAAAATGTAATAATGTGCATTAGTAACTTGTACTATATGCTATTTTAATTACAGATTATGAGATTTTAACATTGAATACATAAAGTAGTAGTACTTAATGACTTTTAAGACTTTGTGTATAAATGTATAGTACTTTGTACATTAAAAATTGTTTTTAAGACTTTTGATAAATCTGGTTTATAAGGTAGTATAGATATATATATATATATATATAATATATGTATGTATGTATATGTATATATATAGGTGAATGATCATGTGAGAAAGAGGGTTAAGGTTAGAAGCGTGAGAAGGGATCTAGACCCTTGATCACCTTTAATATCAAACTCACTCATGAATCGCGCTTGATAGGGAGATTGATCCGGTGCATCTCATCTCGATGCATCTCATACATTAAAGAGCAATTCAAGGGTGAGCATAAGATTAACAGTGATAAGAGTTCAGATCTCTTCTTACATTTCTCACCATAACTTCCTCTTTCACACGATCATTCACTAATATATATAAGTTCGTTAGGAACTCATATAGACGTGTTATTCATTATGAATGTGTTATTCATGAGTTTGATTTTTACATTATGATTCACATGATTTGTGTCATATGTTTTGTTATTGTGTGCGTATATAACTGTGTATATCCGTGTTTTATATATAAACATTTTTTGTGTTTTTTTCCACATGTATAACAATATTTAATATTTCATATATGAAACATCACATGTGCATATAAAGTCAAGTTTAGGAAACTGCAAAAATGAGAAACCGAGAAACACCTTAGTACCATTCATCTGGACGGTATGTACATGTGCATACAAGTAATTTGTAACCAATTTGTCCGGTATGCGTACATGTCCACATCCACATCCACACAAGCATAAAAACCAAGAACCAACTTCAGTTACTTGTATGTACATTTACATACAACATAGATGAAGAGTTATCAGAGAGTTCCTTAGTTTTTCATTTTTTAAGGGTTTTCCTTAAACCTCATCTCTCTCTCTCTCTCTCTCTATATATATATATATATATATATATATATATATATATATTTCCTTAACATGAAAATTGGTTTGT